CCCCCCCCCCCCCCCCCCAGCCCCCCCCCCCCCCCATTAGTCAATCGGCTTTTGTTGAAGGAGCCGGGTGAAAACTTGTTTGCCGAACAATGACTGGCAATCAACTGCAGTCATTGTGAGAGTATTCTGAGCAGCTGTAAGAATATCGTAGTAGTACTTTTTGTAACCTGGAAATCCTAAAAACTATTGTGCTTTGATTATAAAGCACCACTATAGATGACACTGCACCCTAAACTGGTATGTCCATTTCCGGATCTTCCAACACCCTCTGTATAATGCAGATGTGGATCAATAAAGTCATATGGAAATATCCCTTGTGCTTCCATGTACCTACTAAAACTCTTGGAGTTCTACACTTTTACAAATACTACTATGTCTGACAATTGGCCTAAATAGTTAAATATCATTCCACTTATAAGACCCCACCCTGGGTTAGCCTTAAGTAACTGAAGAGCCATCCACTTTGTACCGATAACCTCCTTTAGATCCTGCCTAAGGATAGACTGGCCATCCCCAAACCAATCACAGCCCACTTCCTAAAGTCTGGGATAACCTTATAAAACACTGGCGCTCTTATGTCCCCTTATTTGCCCTTGCAGTCCATCTTATATAATCCTAGCTCATGGCCAAGAGCTTCACTACACTTCAGTAAGAATTCAAACTTCCTCTCTCAGAAATCTTTAGATGCCTTTAAATGAAACACTGTCACAAGTATGCTTAAACCTGGCTCTGTGGATCCTTACTCGTACTCCGTGTTGGAGTCTAAATGGGAGGTGGAATGTGAGCAAACAGCGAAATCTAGCTACCCCAATATAAATGCTTCGGAAGTGAACTACAATTTGCTCTCACAGTGATACTTAATGCCAAAGTCGCTACATTCACCCCTAATTCTTCCTGTACAACTTCCAGGGATGCGATGACATAGGTACTCCAACATATATGGTGGACATGCCCAGTGGTGCTACATTTTCATGGAGGCACTACTCCTTATACAACTAGGGGGAATTACACACTCTTGAGTTAATGCCTTGTATTGACTTAAGTAAAGAAGCTCTTGCACAGAGGAAAAGCTTCATACAGGATTGATGCACAAATCTGGAAGAAATTCATAAAGCACACGAAGATTCAAGTACGAATACATGTCTTGTATTTAGACAATATTTGCTTATCATGGAGTTCAGCTTTAACGTGACATTAAAGGATAAAAAAAATGTTTCCCTCCCCCAATGTTAGTGTGTAATCCGATCTTCTTTCCTGATGTTTTCATCTGTCCCTCCAGCGGTGTGACGTCACTCCGATCCAGCGCTGACTGCTCTGTCCCTCCGATCCAGCGGTGTCTGCAGGCGGGTGCACGCCTCCATAGACTTACCTTGCGTCTCTGCTCGTCTCCCAGCCGAGAATCCGAATTGCGCATGCGCCCGCCCCAAGATGCTTTGCGGCCGCCCGAACAGTTTCGTTTTCTCGAGCGGGAGCTCGCAAAGAAAAAAAAGGTACGTTTAAACCGCTGTTGTAGCGTTTTTTAAAAAAAAACTGTTTGCCTATATCTACTGCCTGATAGCTTTTAGAACCCCTTTAATATGTGAACACTCCACTGCTACTGGCCAGCCTGCCCACTGCTTGTTTTTTTTTAGGCTATAATAGGTCATCGGACATTATTAATTCTTGCCCATTGCTAATGCGGATGAAGCACTGGAAAACCAGGCAGCACATTAACAAAAAAAAAGTGCCACTAGGGCAGCAGGGAATTTAGGACCGCCCTTTTACATCTAGAAACCCCTTAAATTTTATTTAAGGTACCGGTACACATGAAATTGTTGTCACCCGATATCAATTTCTTTCGTATCAGGTGACAATCTTCACATATATCGTTAGCAAGAATGCCCATGAGCTGACTTTTTTCAGGGACGCAGCAATTACTATTGTTTATCTGTGATTAGGCAGGCATTAGAAGTATCTGACTGCAATCCCCTCTTTCTCTATATTAATTAACATGGATTCCCAGAGGTTCAAGTTTATGTCTATCTGTTGATAGTAAAATCAGTGTAGAGGAAATGAAAAACAAAATGTCTGGTAGCCAGTTGATGTAAACACACCAGACGTATCTCTAGTGTCTATGGCTAGATTTAAAGTCAAACTTGTATATATTACAGTAATGTTCTACATGTACCATTTATGTAGAGCCCTAGAGAATCTATTAATTCATATCATTAAGACATTTAGTTTATTCCATGTTACCAAGAGATTACAATTCAGAATAGACAGATGAGAAACTGTTAATTTGCTGCCACCCTGTGGAAAAAAAAGATCACAACATCATAGATAAATAGTAAAGGACCTCAAGCCATATTCACAAAAACTAGGTCATCTGGGACATTTTCTAGTCCACTAAAAATGACAGCATTAAAGTGTTTTCATATGTCGTCATTTCCACACACACAAAAAAAAAATGTATGTAAAAATACTTTTTGAATGAACCCTAAAAATACTTTTCTTGGGAGTCCATTGAGGGTGATGCTGCTGTTTGCAGGAGGATTGGATACTGGCAAATAAAAATCTCTAGGCCAGCCCAGGGTATGACTCCTCCTACCACCAGCATGCCTGTTTTTGTAGCAAAGAAATCATGATCATAAATACGGAGCAGTGGGGCCTCTGTCCCTCAATGGACTCCACGAAAAGAAATTTATAGGGAGAACAAAAATCCCATTTTCTTTTTTGTCCAATGAGAGACGCAGCAAGTCCTAAACCTTCGGGATGTCCAAAAAGCAGTCCAACTGAGGGGTGAACAACAAACAATTGCTAATAGACGAAAGGTAACAATAACTTAGGAATGCTAGCAGACCAAAGATGCCATTCGAAGCTGGCATCAGATGAGGCAGAAACATTCACCAGAGGCCTAGTGCCAAAAATCCCAATAGGCGCTCACAGCATGCACATACACAAGACAAGACTCCATCCAGTGGAATATCAGTGCTCTATCCCACAGCGTTAACCCCTTCCATTCCAGCCTGAATGGCCTCTGAAGACTAAGTGAGTGTTCAGAGACAGGGCAAGTATAGAGGCACTGCCAGAGGTTCTGGACCTGGAAACTGCTCCACAGCTAACCTAACCAGAACGGAGTCTGGTCATAGTGCCTAAGGGACACTTCCAAGCGAACGCCACAATCATCAAATCCAGCAGGGCCTGATAGCAATAAAGTCCATAAAGTCCATAGCCAGGCTGAGGATGACCGTGCTGGATAGCCACGAGTCGGTGGACAAAATCACTTGCAACACTCAATGTAGACTAATCTTGACAAAAGAAGAGCTAGAAGAAGAAAAAAAAGTAGCTAGGAAAATTCAAAGGTTCAGCAGAGCCCCAAAAAAGATAGCTTTTCTCCTAGAATAGTAGCAAAAAACTGGAGGTATGCTGATAGTCTAAGGCAGAGGTAGCCAAACTCCGGCCCTCCAGCTGTGGTGGAACTACTATTTGTATCATGGGATTCGTAGTTTCACCACAGCTGGAGGGCCGGAGTTTGGCTACCCCTGGTCTAAGGGGTTATAATCTGGGATGACCTATAGTTTTTTGTAGGGATGCACAGATACTTTTCGAATACCAGTGCCGATACTTGGCATGTTCATGAGAACTACCAGGGTTGCAGCTGTGACTGGGCTCTGGTGCTCCACCACTGTCCTGAAATAATTGGTCTGTATAGTTTTAGAAAAACTGTCACATGACAATAAACAAAAATGTATCAGTACTCGTACTTGTAAGTACTCGGCCAGTACCAGTACTCGTACTCGCAAAACTGGTATCTGTGCATCACTTTATTTATATTTATAAAAACAAAATCGTACATTAAAACAGAGATGCACAAATCCCAGGAGCTCCGTGTGCTCCTTACAAATGACAGCTGGCTCCTAATTTTTTATTTAATCTCTAGTCTAGTAGCTCAAAAGTATCGGTACATGTATTCGTACTTGTACCGAGTACTGTACTTGGTATCTGTGCAACCCTAGTTTTTTGTATGCCAATGTGTAATCCGCCTGTAGGCGGCAACATAACCCAAATGTTTAAGACTTCCTGCGTCTCTCAATGGATGAAAAAGAAACTCCTATTTCAAGTAATCATTTAGCTTTCCTAGCTGATGTTGATCCAAACAAAATGTCAATACTTCACAGATCCCAAACAAGCAAGCAGCCAAGAAAACACCTTTAATATCTCGCCTCGATTACTGTAACTCCCTCCTTGCTGGCCTACCACTAAATAGCCGATCTTTCTATAATGCTCACGGTAGAAATAAGATTACTAGAAATATCACATCACCAGTGATTACAGACAAGATTAAATACAGATATACCTGCTGTCCTTTAAATAAATATTGAAAAAAATGTACCACGAGGACATCTAGTGGTCATTTGTTAGAAGGAACTAGAAAGAGGGCTATAAAAGCTCTAGCGTGGTTTGAAGGGATAGACCTATGACCTCCTGAGGACGTCTTGTATGACGAAACGCGTCGGGGCGGGTCTATCCTAATTCGATACCACGCTATACCAGGAAGTAGCAGGCGAGTGAGACGCTACAATGGGGCATTAAATTAAATTTTTCACTAAATGTTGGGGTTTAATAAGGAGTTGCGCTAATATTGCGCAACATAAAAATTTGCAACTACCACCATTTTATTCTATAGGGTGTTGGCATTCAGAAAATATATAATGTTGGGGGGTTTTAATGTGGAATATAACATGGGTGCAAAAAATTAAAAAAGGGCCTCAGTCATGAAGGGGTTAAATGTTTGTTCTAAGCAACATCTATTTTTCCATTTAATTCTGAAACGTGTTACCTTCGTCTACAGTAAACTGGCAGCTTTTGTCGTTGTAAAAAAGGATTTTCTTCTTGTCCGGTCTTGTAACAAAGGTAACCTGGTCCCCCAGTGCCTAGTGTGAAATAAAGTAGAGATGAATTATAAATTAAATGTAAAATGATCAATGCCAGCATTTTGGCAATTCATTTAATTTCACTTCATTTTTAAATCTGCTCCACTCACCTGCCAAAAGTATTGGTGCCGGTCTATAAAACATGGAGATACATTTTTCATTGCCCATACCATTTAACACAAAGCTGGCTTGGGCATAAATGGTTTTATAATTATCAACTCAAGGTGGTAACAATTTACCCTGCCCTATTAAGCAAAGTTTTCACCATCATCAAACAGTGATATGCACATCCTGTCATTTAGGGAGCTACACCTGTTAAATATGTTGTTTTCTATGGAATCTATATTTACAACAAACAGCATTACAGATGTATAGAACGTGAGAAAAAGCAACAGAAAATTATGAACATGCAGGCATATGCTAATATAGGATATGAAAATAGTCGGTTAATACATGTATGAAGCTGTTTTACCTGCCAAAAGATTAAATTTTTCTGTCCACCCAGTCCTGATACAGTCTTATTAGACAGCAATTTTAGGTTGGTGACCTTAGTTATTGCAATTTATCAATACAGCAAGGTCACCTCCTTGTTCTCATCATGTGACAGTCTGGTGAAGGAGCAGCAGCAAACCGATTTGGCTCACCACTCAGTTGACTCTGCTCTCTCCCTGTCAGCATGTTCAGTGTTGGTACATGTGCATCCACCTGTTTGGCCCCTAATGTTGTCACGCTTAGCATCCTCGGAGTTAAAGTTGGTAATAGATGTTCTAGAAAACAATGCCTTTCACAGTTTATAAATGACACCATTCAGGCTAGGTACAAACGTACGAAAACAGCTTACCAGCTCAGTCGCTTAGGTATGAACCTAGCCTCACACTGAGCTATTTGTAGCGCAATTTCAGCACAAAAATCGCTCAAATATTGCTCAAAAAAATAATCGCTCAATGTAGCTCATCCAATGCATTTCAATGGAGATGTTCACATCTCACAGCTCAATGTCACCTGTAGCTTATAGCTCAAGCTTGTCGCTCGAACATGACCTATTTTTTCAGCGAATTTTGTGCGATTTGGCCCCAAAAGGCTTTGACTGCCAAAAGAAGCATTATGTAGTGCCACAAAATGTGCACTCTAGCTCAATGTAGCTCAGCTCAAATCCACACTGAAAAAGCGTTTTTTGTTTTTTTATGTAGCTCAGTATGAATGGGGGTCTGAGAGTTGTTAGTATTGTCCTAAAGCACAGCATGCTTTATAATCCATGTAAAGGGGTAGACAAAATAGAAGACGAATCTAACATTATAATAATATCAAACATCTATTTAAGAATAGGGGTCACCCTATGCCTTCAGAACAGCTTCAGTTCTTCTTGGAAGTCTTGAACTGTGTTTAATGGGATGTGGCACCATTTTCAAGAACAAGGTCACCAACCTAAATCCTCAAATGCTTTTAGAGAAGGAGGTGGAAATCAACTTTGTACCTCAGCACTTCCAACAACAATTCATCGATGCTGAGATCCGGTGACTGATGAGCCCATGGAAAGTGTTTGCTAAACAAATGAATGTTTTCATGAACACAAACATAGAGCCAGAGTAAAGGGGGATTATCATCCTGCAGTATAAGATTATTATAAGGAAATGTCTCCACTCTAGGGTGGGTGCACCTGGTCCTATAAAAAGGCCTCACATTCCTTGACTGTAACATGAACATTAGAGGCAACTTGTACATGATTGCTGCCCGTATAATTGCAAATCTCCCACTGCTGGCAAGAGATAATGCTAGTTGAAGGCATTCTTCGTTTTGTCCGAATATAAAACTTGTCTGGGTGTAGGAAACAAGAGTACAAGATTTAGAGCCATTGTTTCGTTCTGCAAAACAAATAGACAGTTAGCGAGGTAGGAGTGGGATCTGCCTTGTACCTTTCATCCAGTTATTACCATGCGAGTAGTTTATGTCAATTTCCATGTTCATTTATAACAAACTGTAATACACGAGGATAAGGCGCTGTCTGTTTTGCATGTCTTGTGAGGAAACTTCACAGTGGCCTTTTGATGACGGCAGCCTGCATACAATTGATGTTGGAGAACATTCTATTGGGAGTCTGCTGTGGTGTGCAGTTTTTTGGACCATTGTTTAGTTGTCCATATTCGAAGCCTTAAAAAAATGATGCACCTTTGTGTGCTGACCCTGAATACAAGCAATTTCCTCATGGTAGCCCTATTGCAGTGTGAGGTTATAAAGTGCCAATTAAGTTCTCTGTGAAATGTTGCCATTTAGCTAATTTTCTGTGAAGGCCACACAAAGTTTGGAGGTCTGTAGCTATTGACTCTGCCTGACTATGCCTGTAAGTAAGTTCCATGCATGTCATATGCTATCATTTGTGATAATGTTCCCTTTAAAAGCATCAAATTATTTTACAATTTCTTTGGCAATGCACCTGCAGTTCAAGCAATTACTAGTTGGTCTCTAAAATTCTATTAGCGGTCTAATATTGCTATATAAAAACACACATATCAAAAAGTGATAGTGGATACCTCTTTTACTGGTGACACATAATGGTAACTGGCAATCAACCTAATTAATCACTTTCCCGCTGCTAAAGTTTTTGCATCCCATAAACAATGTTTTTTTGCTCACTTGCAATGTGCCTTTGAACTTGCTAGAAAATTTAGAGAACTATGGGGTCAGGGCTTTTCCCCATAGTTCTCCTAAGGGGAACGGGAGGACACAAAGTAGTGTCCTCCCGTCACCCTAAGCTCAGTATACCTATACCTGTAGCTATACAGTATGCATCTACAGCTCGCGGTATACTGAGACGCCGCAGCCGGGACGGATCCCGACATTACTGTCGAGATCCACCCAGCTGCGGGATTAACAGCTGCCTCTGCCTATCTAGAGGCAGAGCCATCTGTGCCTGCCCCCTCTCCCGTGGGGAATCCCTGCAGAGAGCAGCGAGTGACAGTCACGGCTCTCTGCAGGGACAGGATCAAGAAGTGAGCGAGTGACGGTATGTGTTCGCTCACTCCCCGATCTATTGAGACCTCCCTACATAACTTTTAATGAAGCAGCCAGGGGAGGAGTGAAAAGTAGTATTATAGAGTGTCACTTGAGTGAGGTCGAGTCTGCTAGGGCTGCAAATATCACATCCAAGATAGCGACACCCCAACAGCAGTTTTGGGGCTTTTGGATGTCCACCACAGAGGGGCATTGAGAGGTAAATAACATCCATAAAATATGATAAATCTTATGGGAAGATTGTGAATAAAATGAATGGTCTGGTAGCTTTCTTGTGTGACCTGTTATTTTTTCCATTACCTGTTTTTCTTGCATAGATCAGCTGCTGAGCATTTATTTTAAGCACACAAAAATGCATAAGGTGGCTCCATAGGAGCAACGCCAAGTTTGTAATAGAAGCTCTTCATTCAAGAACTTCATATGCTTCCTTCCATCTCTCTTTCTTTACAAGAGGCTCTCAGAACAAAGTTGAATGGACCACTCCCTTCCCCATTAGCGCTTCTCGTAATATGATTAAGAAGCAGATGAAAAGAATTCTACAACTCCTTATAAATATCTAAAGCAAAATGCTGGCATAAGTCACCCACTGATCCCTAAAGAGCACAGATGCTACACAAAGTTTATTTTTTGCTTAACATGTCTCTTTCCAGTAAAGGAGCAAAACTCATAGAAAGACAATTTCCTCACTTCCCTCAAAGTTAAATGCTTGACCACAGAGAGGATTCAGCGATGCACTTTATTCTAGTGTTAATATCAAAATCTGGGTATGTGACATTCCAGCTCCTCTTACAACAGAATGACTGTTCCTTTGGGAAAATGCCAGCAAATCCTTGACATGTACTACTAGCTTTGTATTAACCACGAAGGCAATCATGAAGTTACCAGCTCTTGCTCAACCACTATGATGTTAGAAGTAGCTCGTAAGAAATTAAATATAAAAAAGGTAGATAAAAAAAATTCACAGACTTATATAAAAGAAAAAATACCTTAATTGCTTTTTGTGCATTGGGAAGTCCTTCTTCTATGTCATCTAGTAAGATGCCTCCCAGTCCCCTCTGATCATGCTTGTCCAATAGTCTCAGAAGAGCCTTCTTGTCTTTTAAATTAAACCTGGGCTTGAAAGCATATCTTCCATCAATAACTTCAATCTTAGGATTGTTTGCAAGAGCCTAAAAAGAGTAAAAGGATAATCCTAAATAACAATACTTTAGCCAAGAAGAACATGGAGCCCAATTTCTACTTATGCATAAATATTCTATTGTGGTTTGTCAGCTAAATCTAAATTCATTGTTCTAAAATGTGGGTTACACACAGTTATATGTGAAGTAAACGCATTTTAACTAAGCCAACACTGCAACAGTATATAATCAAGAGCATTTACCAAACAGATATTTCAGTTGATGTTATATGTTGAAGAGCCAACACCACCTGTTTATGTCCCTCAAGGATTGTGTTTCCAGGTCTGCACACGTCACAGCAATAATGAGATGATCCCCCTCTCTTTATAGCATTTTTATTTTACATAATGCAATGGAGAATGCAGCAGGTAGAGTGTCATCCCCTGAAAGACTGGTTGAATTTTTTTTTTTTTTTTTTAAGGTGAAAAAAATGTTATTTACATTTTTGGATTATACCATTAAAGATGACGATAGGGAGGTAATCTTCACTCTGCAATTACTGGAGCTGGACTTCTCTATTTCAGACATAAGAGAAGATACAAAAATTATGAGGAATCTTCTTTAATAAGGGATGTTGGAAGCCTATCGTACTCCTGGCACTGCCATATTGTGTGACATCAGCGTGAGTGGATGTCAAAAAGCAAACTTCAATTACCACCCAGCTCACCAATTCCCTGTAGTGCCAGCAAAACCTCATTCCTTGTCTGCTGCATGCAACATCAACACCCAGGGGAATGGCAAGACTCTGAAGTACAATTACTATGTGAAATAATGAAGTTGCCTTTAAAAGGAGAACTATGAGGTGAGTGCTTTTCACTCACCTCATAGTTCTAGCCGACCTGTGACAATGAGACTGTCACAGGTCGGCTCAGTAGATCGGGAGGTGAGCGAACATATACCGGCGTTCGATCACCTCTCGATCCTGTCACGGCTCTCTGCCGTGACAGGGGAGGGGCTGGATTCCCCCTCTCCGCTCCGCCAGCGCTGACTGGCGGATCGGACGGGGGAGGGGGCGGGTACAGCTGGCTCTGCCTCTAGATAGGCAGAGCCAGCTGTCACTCACGCAGCTGGGCGGATCTCGACATCGATGTCGGGATCCGCTCCGGCGTCTCAGTGTAGCTCGCGGTATACTGAGCTTAGGGTAACGGGAGGATGCTATTTTGTGTCCTCCTGTTACCCTAAGCAGAACTATGGGGAAAAGCCCTGACCCCATAGTTCTCCTTTAAGAATTAATCAGCTACTACACCAACAAAGGATGAGCTCCCCGGTGGGCTCTATAAATATCAAAAATGTATAAATTGGTTTATGTAAGCATTTACATATTTGCTAGAAATTAAAATTTAGCAATGGTTTATTACAACTATAGTTAATTTTAACACTAGAATCACAAGCTACACAAATAATTTTTGTTTTGGAAG